AAACGTTGTACATTTGCTGTTGTGTTAAACTTATATTAAAGTTTTTCTTCATTACCCATTCAAGCCGTCTCCAGCCATTATGAATGAATATTTGTTGTAAGATTATTATTAATGCTATAAATGTAGCTTCCAGTTTGTCCACACTGAATCCTTTTTTAGACGCACCTTTTTTTTTATTCACACCTAAGGTGTTTTTCATTAGATTTTACTTGCTAGCAGAACGTCCTGGTTGACATTAATCAGAAAATGTTTAGGTTAGCTTTGATACCCATTTAGACTATTTGAATTGATGCTGAAAAGATTTAATCAATCGATCCCAGCCAGTGTCGGGCCTGTCAACATAAAACTTCTAACACTTCCCTAAGGAGATCCCCCTATGGGCAAGCAAGTAAACTACATTAAGCACTTAGTAATTCTAAGCAGTGTAATGAATCATTTCTATATTAGTGATATAAAAGTAACCTAAGATATATACTTGTAATTAAATATAATGTATTTCTGTCTCAAATAATTGCACTGGCACATCGTTTTTACATCCACTTACATTTTTGATGTTGTAAGACAGATACAAAATTCACTACAACTTAGGGATAAGATGAAAGTGTTTTAGGGAATTAGGAATGTAATTTTTTGAAAGCTAAATATCTCCTATTTTTTATTTCTTCTTTAAGCGTTTAACATGACTTGAGCTGTTGGTGCCAGCAGCAGACTGTTTAATCTCTCTAAGATGTTAAATAACTTGCAAAAATGAAGCCCCTCAGTGGCACAGCGGTATGTCTGCGGACTTACAACGCTAGAAAACGGGTTTCCATACCCGTAATGGGCAGATCACAGATAGCCCATTATGTAGCTTTGTGCTTAACTTCAAAACAAACAAACAAAACAAACCAAAAATTAATAGAAATCCTTACAACCGAAACTGACTTCATCTCCTTGCTTTCTCTGTACTTTCATCTGTACGAGCTATTTATGACTGTTTGGTGCCCCATAGAATGATGTTCAGAATGGCAGAACATAAAATTTAAAAAAAATGATTAAATAAAACTCATATCATTCCTCCGAGTTTGTGCATAATTTGGTTTAGTAGTAAATGTTCTGTTAATGACGTAATGCTGGCCAATAGTTTCTGTGAGGCAGGTTCGACACCATTGAACGTTTTAATAAATTGTGCACATTATAAACTTATAAGATATTCATGCTAATCAACGAACTACATTCAATACATTATTAAATATTTTTATCTCCTAGTTATCTCCTATACTTTGTTTATTCAATGTTTTTTCACCTAGTTATCTTTTTTACTTTGTTTATTCAATGTTTTTTTACTCCTAGTTATCTCCTATACTTTGTTTATTCAATGTTTTTTCTCCTAGTTATCTTCTATACTTTGTTTATTCAATGTTTTTTCTCCTAGTTATCTCCTATACTTTGTTTATTCAATGTTTTTTCTCCTAGTTATACTTTGTTTATTCAATGTTTTTTCTCCTAGTTATCTTCTATACTTTGTTTATTCAATGTTTTTCTCCTAGTTATCTTCTATACTTTGTTTATTCAATGTATTTTCTCCTAGTTATCTCCTATGCTTTGTTTATTCAATGTTTTTTTCTCCTAGTTATCTTCTATACTTTGTTTATTCAATGTTTTTTT